GAAACAGAGCAGTTTACATACATTGGGGAATTGTAAGGTCAGGGAACCAGTTTAGCTGGCTTGTACCCGTTCATAGGTGTGTAATCGATTACAAACAAGTGCGATGGTCAATTGCTGGGGCCAGTATTTGAAGAAAAAAAAGCCATTTTTTTTCCAACGCTGGTCGGCCGACCAGCGTTGGAAATTGATACAAAAATACCACTTTTCTTGAAAATGACAGTATACCAGGTGCCATGATTTTACAGGATGCTTTACACTGTCATTCACTAACAGTCCATCAAGGTATTTCAAAATGATTTGGTAGTTTTATTTTTTGATGTTTGCAAATGTTGTATTTTCCCTTTCAGTAAATATTTGGAAACAAGGTAAATGCGCTAAACGTTTGGGTATGATAGTAGCTTTTTTGGATCGTGACTATGTCCTTATAATTATTCAGTCCCTTGTATGCTATTTAAGTAAGGGTTTGTACGTATAATCACCAAAATATATTTTTCAAATTTTTTTTATACAGCATCCATGCCAAGCAACAAAAAGGTTTAGTAATGGAAACTACCTCGTGCTGGATGTCGGATTAAAACAACCCTACATATTATAAATTAATAGATGCCGTCTTGAATTTCTTCCTTCCCCTAACATTTAATTATCAGACTAGTCGTGCCAGTGCCTTTACAAAATGTAACGCAACTGTGTTTGCTCGATCCATCGATTCGAGTGCGCGCATTCTGGAAATAAAGACGACGTGGTTGTTAGTACGAGGACAACTAACTCAGTTAGCCTAAACAGAACAGACAATTTCAAATCAGTGCTTACCAAATTAAGTTACCAAGCTTTCTGACTGCGGTTCTTCTTCGTGTATTGTTCTTGCATGAAAAACACACAGTTTACTAGACGATACTTGTTCACCAACAATCATATCCGCTCCGGTCACAAGTACCTCCTCACGATCACCGGCAAAGAAAGTGTACAGTTGGGGGTGACCGAACGACGCAATCTTGCCTGACTGCAATATATTGCCGCGAAGTGCGGCCACTGTGTGTACATAGTACAAATCCCCTGGCGTACGTGTAAAAGACAAACCGGAAATAAAGCCGAGGTTTGAAAAAAGGGTCATCATGTTTACTATTAAACCCGGTACGTCACCTCACCTACATTTTAGATCGCCAGGGCGTCGGAGAATTATCAGGTTAGGGAAACAGTCATGCAGCGCTCGTCCAAACAGCGGGCAACACAAGTGGTTATATAAGACCAGCGAACATCGTATATGGAGTGCTCACACAAAGCGTGCGTAGTACCTCAGCTCAATCAGTACTGCGCCTTACCGTTGTGAATACACGCACGTAACATCATTGGGCACCACTCGGGGATATTTTCCCCATGAAATTGGACAGATTATCTTCCTCATTTCTGCACTTTTTTCTAGGTAAGAAATTCAACATAGGTGTTTTTTTCTTTGGTCGGGAGCCACAAAAAGGGTCAGTCGCCACAAAAAGGGTCGGTCAACCTGAACGTCAATTTAATGTACAGCAACGTATACCTAACCATTGCTGACCCAAGGTGTTCTATTGATAACAAATTAGAGAATCCCTACAGCGGCAGAACGTACAGTTGGTACGCCCTCGCGATCCATTACGTACTGTTACCAAGCAACACTGTGGATTTTAGAAATACAACCATCAGACATCACAAACATGGCTGGACTTTTGGATGTGTCGCGTTATGGCTGGGACGTCTTCATTTGCCGGCTTTTGCTCCTGGTGCTGTTTGTCTGCTGTTGCTTTCAACGAGGTCGCTGCGATCTTACAGGTAGGTATATCAAAATTTGATGGGTTTGATTTTTGCATTGGGGCGTAGAGAAACCGGTAGATTCAACGAATTTGACTGAATATTGAATGGAATTTTCAGCACAAGTAAAAACAAAAAGAGATAGACAAAATGTACCGAGAGAATAAAAGATTGTGAACTATATCTTGGGAATTTGCGCCTATTAATTGACATCAAAAAGGAACTACGTAATGAATAAATGAAACGTCCGTCTTATGAATTAAAAAAAAAAGGCACGAACAATTCATGTTGGAATTTTGACTTGGAATAAAAGCCTGCCGCATTGTTGTTTTTACCACTTTACCAATTGGACAGACTGTCGTAAGTCTCTGCTCCGATGTTTATGTTTCGTATGGAAGGGGCGGATCCAGCTTTGGTTGGAGGGGCGGGGATGTTAAGCTGCCTGGGGGAGGAAGAAGGCACGTGCTTTATTTTTTTCATTACTTTCCTCTTTGGGGTAAATGAGTCCTTAGCTTTGCATTTCGCCTTCGATGGAGAAATTCAAGTTGTAGTTGTCCATGTAGTTGTTGTCAAAGCCGTGATTCATTTCAGCCCTCCCTGTTCATGGGAAAAGTACATCACAGAGCACAACATGGGGGTACCTTTCTGCTAAGGCCATCGATGGACAGACAAGTACATACTCGCACACTGGTAAGAACAATGAGAAATACTCTTGCCTTTGCTGTAACCCCTCATCATCAACTATCTCTCCCTTGTCACTTTCGTCATTCTTGAAATCAACGTACCAGCGCCCTCCCTCTTCTGCTACTTCCCTGAGCGTCGCAAGGGGGTGCTCCCCCCCGGAAAAGAAACAAAAAAAGACGGAGAAAAATAGTAAAAACAAACCATGCTATTAATTAAATACACCTTTGAACGCGGATTTGTGCCCCCCCCCCGAAAAAAATCAAGACGACGCCATTGGCTACTTCCCTCCTCAATCTCCTCATCCTCATTCCCGTCCCGTCAACCTCTTGCCACAACCTCCCATCCCATTCCTACGTCCATCTTCACCGCCATCCCCATCCTCATCCCCATACTGATCGCTCTCTCTCCCATGCCCTTCCCCTACCCTCCCATCCCATTCCTACGTCCATCTTCGCCTCAATCCCCATCCTCATCCCCATACTGATCGCTCTCTCTCCCATGTCCTTCCCCAACCCTCCCATCCCATTCCTACGTCCATCTTCGCCTCCATCCCCATCCTCATCCTCATACTGATCGCTCTCTCTCCCATGCCCTTCCCCTACCCTCCCATCCCATTCCTACGTCCATCTTCGCCTCCATCCCCATCCTCATCCCCATACTGATTGCTCTCTCTCCCATGTCCTTCCCCTACCCTCCCATCCCATTCCTACGTCCATCTTCGCCTCCATCCCCATCCTCATCCCCATACTGATTGCTCTCTATCCTATGCCCTTCCCCTACCCTCCCATCCCATTCCTACGTCCATCTTCGCCTCCATCCCCATCCTCATCCCCATACTGATTGCTCTCTCTCCCATGCCCTTCCCCTACCCTCCCATCCCATTCCTACGTCCATCTTCGCCTCCATCCCCATCCTCATCCCCATACTGATCGCTCTCTCTCCCATGTCCTTCCCCTACCCTCCCATCCCATTCCTACGTCCATCTTCGCCTCCATCCCCATCCTCATCCCCATACTGATCGCTCTCTCTCCCATGCCCTTCCTCTACCCTCCCATCCCATTCCTACGTCCATCTTCGCCTCAATCCCCATCCTCATCCCCATACTGATCGCTCTCTCTCCCATGTCCTTCCCCTCCAATCCCATCCCATTCCTTCGACCATCTTCATCTCCATTTCCATCTTCATCCCCATACTGATCGCTCTCTCTCCTACGCCCCACCCCCTCCCCTCCCGTGCCATTCCTACGTCCACCTTCACCTCCATCCCCATACTGATCGCTCTCTCTCTCTCTTATGCCCCACCCCCTCCCCTCCCATGCCATTCCGAAGTCCACTTTCACCTCCATCTCTACCTCATCCCCATACTGATTAGTCTCTCTCATGCCCTACCCCTTCCCTCCCATTCCATTCCTACGTCCATCCTCACCTCCATCCCCATCCTCATCCCCATACTGATTGCTCTCTCCCCTTCCCCTCCCCTCCCATTCCATTCCTATGTCCAAATTCATCCTCATCCCCATCCTCATCCCCATACTGATCGCTCCCTCTCCCATGCCCTTCCCCTACCCTCCCATCCCATTCCTACGTCCATCTTCACATCCATCCCCATCCTCATCCCCATACTAATCGCTCTCTCTCCCATGCCCTACCCCTCCCCTCCCATCCCATTACTACCTCCATCTTCACCTCCATCCCTATCCTCATCCCCAAACTGATCGCTCTCTCTCTCCCATCCTTTTTCTCCCCTCTCATCCCATTCCTACCTCCATCTTCACCTCCATCCCCATCCTCATCCCCATACTGATTGCTCTCTCCCATGCCCTTCCCCTCCCCTCCCATTCCATTCCTATGTCCTAATTCATCCTCATCCCCATCTTCATCTTAAAAATCGCTCTCTCTCTCCCATGCCCTACCCCTCCCCTCCCATCCCATTCCTACCTCCATCTTCACATCCATCCCCATCCTCATTCCCATACTGATCGCTTTTTCTCCCATGCCCTACCCCTCCCATCCCATCCCATTCCTACGTCCAAATTCATCTCCATCCCCATCCTCATCCCCATACTGATCGCTCTCTCTCCCATGCCGTACCCATCCCCTCCCATCCAATTCTTACGTCCATATTCATCCCCATCCTTATCCTCATCCTCCAATCGCTCATCCCCATCCTCATCCCCATACTGATCGCTCTCTCTCTCCCATGCCCTACTCCTCCCCTCCCATCCAATTCCAACGTCCATATTCATCCCCAATCCTATCCTCATCCCCCCAATCGCTCTCTCCCATGCCCTACCCCTCCCCTCCCATCCCATTCCTACCTCCATCTTCACCTCCATCCCTATCCTCAGTCCCAAACTGATCGCTCTCTCTCTCCCATCCCCTTCCCCTCCCCTCCCATTCCATTCCTACGTCCAAATTCATCTCCCATCCCATTCCTACGTCCATCTTTGCCTCCATTCCCATGGATAAGTAGCAAAAAATAACTTCCTTGGAAATATTCACTCACGGACCCTTTACTTTCCTTCATTCTAGATAATGATGATCCGCATCCTTGGTGGCTGCTGGACCTAGGTAGCTCTCACAACTTGAGTAGAATCAACGTCACACTCCGATTGGATAACACGGGTAACTTTTTTTAATACTCTTTACCCCAAGAATCATTATTCGTTGAGGTTCTTACTTTTTTAAGAGATTTGTTTTTTCGGAACTGTAATTTAAGTAGATCTGTTTTTTCTTTTCTAGGTTATCGTTTCATCGGGGCGATAGTGCGAGCTGGACTGAGCCCTAACTTCACCGAGAACCTGCCGTGCGGCTTACCGGCTACCAGCGAACAGTCTAAGGATGGAGCCGAGATCACGTTCCTGTGCGAGCCACCGCAGACGGCCAGATACGTCAGTGTGGACATCGATACTTCCATGCCCGGTGTAGACGCGGATCAGGCATATCTGCAACTTGCCGAGGTGGCGGTGGAAAACGTCACGTCTGGAGAGGGTGCTGGTAGGTAACAACAGTCGTTTGACATTACTTAGGCTTTACTGCAATAAAAAAAGGAGTTTACAACCTGTCTGCAGAATTTGGTAGGTTGCTAAGAACCGGTCGGTGTGTATAATCTGTAAACGATTTTCAGTTGAAATCTGACCAACTTTTATTATAGCTAAGGCCTGTTGCAACTGCCGTTCGCAATAGCACGACAGACCCTGTCGAACTTAAGAACGGTGCCGTACCGAACTCAATTAGCCGAGCCAAAGGTTTCTAAACACCGTGCTATTGCTGGTTCTTACGATACTCGTAATGTTTTTAGTTTATTTACCAAAATGCTTTGGTGTAAAATGAATGAAAGCTTCGTAAACTGAACGGGAGACTATTAGAACAGTTAAGTACAGTAGTTCCGGCGAGTCACGCGTGGCCGGGACCTCTACCCCTGAGGGACATTTTTTTTTAATTCTCCATGGGGGACCATTATCTCCGTTGTACAAGGTGGACAGAATAATGTAGGATAAACTGCCCTGTAGACCAGCCTTTGTATCGGTCCATTAACAGTGGTCACCCCTAAACCTGGTCTTTATCAAGCAGTAAAGACCGGATCCTCACACTATTATCAAAATCTCGATTCGTTTCAGCCCTCCATGTTTATGGGAAAAGTACATCACAGAGCACAACATGGGACTATCGCCCTTCTTATAAGGCTATCGATGGAGAGACATATACCTACACGCACACTGGTAAGAACAATGAGAAATACATCCGCATTTGCTGTAACCCCATGTCATCGTCGAATTCGTCTCCCTCGTCACCTTCTTCATTCTCCAAATCAATGACACCGTACCAACCCTCAACACCTTCTACCATCTGCACCCTCAAATCTCCTCGATCCCTTTTCCACCCCAGGCCAACTTCCCGCCATGCACCAAACCACCATCCCAATCCTCATACTGATCCCCGGCAACATTCCGATCCCCGTCCTACGCCCATACTGATCCCAACCACATTCAAATCACCATCCCATCCCCATCCTCATCCCCGTCCCATTTCCAATACTGATCCCACCTCCAATAATAATAATAATAATAATGCTTATATAGCGCTTTATACCAAAAGTCTGTAAGCGCTTCAAAATTATTACCCCTGTTCATCAGGCCATGAGACCAGTTTCTGCAGCAGCTCAAGATCAGCGCAATCTGGTCTTTACCTTCATACTCCTGGGTGGAAAGAGGCAATTGTAGTAAAGTGTCTTGCCCAAGAACACAAAAACCATGTTCCCCGTTCGGTTTCGAACCCACGTACCGTGGCAAGTGAGCCAAACACGGTAACCATTGGACCACAGCGCTCCACAAGTACCAATCAGTTCCCAATCCCCATATGCATCCATGGGAGTCGCGGCGAACTTCTCCCATCCTAGTCACAACGTTATTCGCAGTAGTTCAAGTACATCAACGACATGTACATTTAAATAATTTTCTTCCTTTCCTTCATTGCAGATGTTAATGATCCGCATCCTTGGTGGCTGCTTGACCTAGGTAGCAAACACTGCTTGGGTAGAATCAACGTCACTCTCCGAAAAGATTACGGTGGTAAAATTTCTTAAAGACCAGTCACTTTGGTGTGGCAAGATTTGAAAAATGTATATGTATTCAAAATAATCTATAATGTATAAAAACTCAACAAGGAGATTTTTATCCGAACAAGTGAAGTTGGAAAACTGCTTCGCTCAAGACAAAAACAAAAGCTGTCGGGAGCATCTGCTCCTAGCTGTTTTGATGACGTCACGCGACGTCTCCACAATCAGACAACTATTTCATTAGAGACAGTTGAATCATCCAGAGTTTTTTTTATAAACTTCTCTTTGACAGACATTAAGATAACTGCAATTTACGACGTAGATCTGTCTTTTCTTTTCTAGGTTTTCGTTTCGTCGGGGCGATAGCGCGCGTTGGACTGAGCTCCAACTTCACCGAGAACCTGCCGTGCGGCTCACCGGCTACCAGCGAACAGTCTAAGAAGGGGGCCGAGATCCCGTTCTTGTGCGAGCCACCGCAGACGGCTAAGTACGTCAGTGTGGACATCGATACTTCAATGCCCGGTGTAAATCCGGTAGAGGCAATTCTGCAACTTGCCGAGGTGGCGGTGGAAGAGTACACGTCTGGAGAGTGTGCTGGTAGGTAGACTTGAAATCAAGTTGGCCGGGTTTAGTCAGCCTGCGCCACAGTTGTAATAACAACCGTAAGGGTTCGCCTTTCGCAGACGTGTAATACATCACATTTTGTGCATTTGTGATTGGTCACCCTGTTCCTGAGCACGATGCTGTGTACGTGTCTAATGCTACACACACAAAACGTGTATCATACATAATTGTTTGAAAACGAAAGGAAACACGTATCATACTCCGTCGTGTCCATGCATGTAAACAATCTTTTTTCCCCGTCTTTTCTCGAGAACGGTACGACATTAGGTTGGTTTTCTTTCAGGATGTTTAAAACAGGATAAGTAAACATCCAAAACATGAAATGTTCGGGGATTTCAGGACGCAGTGCCCGTTTAACAACCGTCCGAATAGTCCAACAGACATGCCGAACGCCATCAAGGGCGGGTCCAGAACACAATTTTTTTGGGACGGGCCCCCCAAAAATTTGGTCCACCAAAAAGTGGGTCCAAACTGTTACGGCGTGGGATTCTAAATGCTCTGTTGTGCGATCTCAGGCAATTTCTGACAACTTTGACAATTTTGTTTGTAGGTACAGAATGGTGGTGATGTACGCAGCGCCTGCATTTAATATAGCGACATCACTAAAGTTTATTTTTTTTTGGGGGGGGGGATCTCCCCCGTTGGCCCACCACCACCCATGGATCCGCCCTTGGATGCCAGGAATTAATGTCAACGTACTACATGGCGCTAAGAATTAGGAAGATGTTTTTTTTGTCTTGTCCTGTCTTGTCATGTCATTAAATTGTTTAATGCCAATTTTACTTTTCAGTGTGTATATATTTTGTATTGTTTAGGTTGAATTTTTCTTGTTTATTTTCAGTCTTTTAAATGTTTATGTTTTGTTATATATGTAAATGTTGATGTAATTCAGCCCCTGTGCTGTCATGTCAATCTCGTTTATCAATAAACAATTTATTATAATTATTTTACTTGGACCTCATATCAACCGCCTTAATTGATATTTAGGGGTACTTATACTTTCGAATCATCATCAGTGTGTCTTCTTTCAAGTTTACGACATCACACGATGTCTGGCACTTTGTTATGTTGATAGTACACTATCTGTGGTATCACATTGGTTATTTCACAAACGATTTGCTATTAAACTTCATGGTTATAAAATCTCTATTTTTCTTTTCATTTTACACATCAGAGTATGTTTGTATCAACCTAAACCCTTGCCGCAATGGCGGCACATGTATCCCAGATACCGCCGGTAATTTCTATAACTGTTCCTGCCCCGCCGGGTTTAGTGGAGAGGATTGCCAAAGTGAGTATATATTATGGAACAATGGACATTATGTGCAACAGTGTTATATGGTTGTTACCTTTCTTGAAATTGATCCATTTCAAAGTATCAATTTGTTTTTGAATTGGATCTCGTATGTACCGTCACCCACGTAGTGTTGTATGTCATCATCTGTCTGTCTCCTTTCAAGTTTACGACATCGCACGATGCCTCCTCGATCATGTCGATCATAATAGGCGTAAAGCGACCGGGGAGTTTTGGATTTCACATTGGTTATTTCACAAATGTTTTGCTAGTAAACTTTGTGGTCTCTATTTGTCTTTTCATTTTACATATAGATGATGTTTGTAGCAACCCAAACCCCTGCCGCAATGGAGGCACATGTATCCCAGATACCATCGGTAATTTCTATAACTGTTCCTGCCCCGCCGGGTTTAGTGGAGGGGATTGCCAAAGTGAGTACATTTTTTTGTGGAAAAATATTTTTCTTGCCCTCTCAAAGAAAATACAACGTTTTCAGTTTGTAATCACCGGGTTTTATAACACCTCAAAGTTGTAAAAGCTTCATTCGACGTACTAATTTCTACTTAAATGTCTTACCTACCTATTTTTATTTAGATTCAGCCGAAGACCCTTGCATACCTAATCCCTGTATGTGCGAAAACGGGACCAGCGGCAACAACTGTCAGAGTGAGTAGCTCACGTATCTGTCGGCCTCCTACAGTATTGTTGTACATGGGTGTATTTAAAAAAAGAAGAAGAAAAACAGATGTAAAAAAAAGAGGAAACCAGATAAAAATGTAAATAATAAAGACGAATATAATATATAAATATTTTCAAAAAAGTAAAAATCTTGTGAAATGCCGATGCGTCCTCTTTCCAATGATACGTTGATTGTGTGTCTGTGGCTACGGGTGACTGAGCATTCGTTGTTTAATATTCTGTCAAGGGTCAAAGCCTGTATTAATTAATTGGGCTAAGTTTCACCTGTCAAAGATTGCTGGCTGGTTTGTTATACAAGGGTTGAAATGGACAAGACTTCGTGCAGAGCTTTGTGTGGAAAGAGGTGGTGGCCATGCATGTTGAAGGCGTTGGGCCATGAGGGGTTAACTTCAACAATGAGTGATTAGATCACTGCATTGTGTCCGAACTACATTTTTTTTTTATAGAAAGAGATGTTTTTTTTTCTCTAAATAAAGCTGTTCCACATGCCTCAAATACCAGTTAGCCCTTTACCAAAAATTTGCCAAATGCAGGTTTAAACCCTTAACCCTAAAGGGGCAGGGCGCCGCCCCCCTCGATTTTTTCCGCGATAGCTTTGAATTTTTTTTTCCGTGACCCCAGCTGTTATTTCCGGCTTCTGTTAATTTTGAAAACTGAATTTTTCCATCATACGTAGTGTACACAGAGCAGAATTACCATTCATGCATAATAATAATTAGTCATGAAATGTCTTGGGTATGTTCATGATAAGTTGTTCTATGCACGTTCCGAGTTTCATAATTTTTCGTCGCTCGATGGCCGGGGGATTGGAAAATACACCCCCCCCCTGGGCTGAGAGATGGTCAAAATTGCCCGACCCTTTTAGGGTTAACAACATATTAAAAGTAGTCATTTGAAAACCCAAGTTAAATATTGTTGAAAGTGAAATCTGTTCAATTGTGGTTTTTGTTTTTATACTGCAGACGCCAATTCAAACACCATGCCAATCATTATTGTCGTTGTCATTGTCGTCGTCTTCCTGATTGTCGGACTGGTCATTGTCATGGTTTCCCTCTTCAAAAGGTCACGGCGCAAGCGCAGAGGTGGCCGGCCGTCTGCTGTCGATAGTGGGCGTGGACAAGAGCTGATTGAAAATGTGGTTAGTTTGTTATAAAGACGTCTTTTTATTCATCTGGTATCACATCCGAATAATGTGATTAGAAAATCATCAGTGACTATGCAGTGTCTTAACTACAGCTTCTAAAAGAGGAAAGATTCCGTCTGGTAAGACGGACGAGCACTCAAACAAGTTTTCAGAACGACAACTGAACCCCTGTCATGCAGACGCCTTTGTAAATCTTGTCACAAAGTTGAGCATTTGTTTCTGCAAATATGCCAAAAGTTTACGCCACACATTTTCAGCATGATTTTGCCTTGTAAAAAACAGTTTCCATTGTTTTGAAAATGCACATGCCAGAATCTAAATTGGTTTGACACTGTGCGGACTGGCAACGCAAAAACTTGTCGCGTCGTCAAAAATGTCGCCCGAATAGAAAGTGCGATCCAACCTTGTTAATTCGGAAAATCTTTTCAAAGACGTATTTTTTGTCTGCCTTGCAGAAAAAGTCGAATGTTTATTGGATTGACACTCTTCAAGCATCGACCTCGGAGTTCAGTGGACCAGCCAAGGAGTTCCCGCGGGACAAACTGCACATCCTCGGCCAGTTAGGCAGCGGCTCGTTTGCTGTGGTCTACAAGGCCGAGGCAGAGGGAATCATCCGTAGGGGAACCAATACGACGGTGGCTGTCAAGATGTTGAAAGGTACGGCATTGTTAAAGGCCTAGTGCACTAAAACAAATGTGTTTTATTGAATGAAGGGACTATGATAATGTTTCCAAAAGGACCCTTTTCTGCCTGTCAGTGATTGAGCAATGAGATAACTATAATATAGCGGGGTCAACTTTCAGTCACGAGCACTGTGAAAGGTACAAGCGAACCAAAGGTGGACGGAGCGGGAGGTGGTATATTGCAAAATCCGAATCGTCCATTCTACAATCAAATAAGCTCGTGCATGCTTGGAAAAGATTAAGTCCATACACTAAGAAAGTGTGACGTCACCTCCTCCTTATGGCCTAGTTACGCTCACATGACAACAATGTTGACGTACGTTTTAAAGATATAGTCCATCAGTTGTAATTTGTGCATTTTGTTCGTTTGAAGCAACAAAGGTACTCAAACTCTAAAGAAGGGCACTGAACAACTAACCTGATGAAGTTTCAGCTCAGCTTCAGCTGTGTATTCCGAGAAAAACAGCATTCTAGGATCTCAATTTCAAATCAAAAGCTGCTGAATCATGTTTTGAATTGGGCCTGAATTCAGCATCCGAGACACGTTCTCACTGAGCCGATTGCAGCTACGCGATGTCGCGCACCGATCCGACGAATTATAGCAACCGCGCGCGCGTGTGCGTCGTGTCAACGAGGGCTCGTGCTTCGCCGAATAAAAGACACCGAACTAGTAACGGAAATTTCCATAGGTACTTCTTAAGACGCACCGTTGGAAAGGCCTTCTTTCGTTGATTACTTCAAAATGACAGCTTGCCAGAAATAAAAATTTCACGAATAGTTGAGTTCCCTTACTATCTTCCAACCGAGTATGTTTTTCAACAATAATTACGCCAGTTACTTTTTGGATTGCTGCAAATGATGGACTCTGGCTTTAACACACGTGCGCGATCACAGACATCGATTTCACATCCTTCTTTCATTGAATAGATTCACAAATTCGAAAATGACTCACTGCCTTTCAGCAGATGATCACCACACCAGTAACACCCACAGTTGTGCTTATGTTTGCCTCAAAACCAATTTTGACTAGAAAATGGATTTACACCAGCCATAGTGATCACGGTTGAACTCATTGGACCTCTGAGTGACGTCACGACTGCGCCAGCGAATTTAGGACCATCCTACGTAGTCACAACGGTGGCGAGAGGGAGCCAAGTTGTGTGACACGTCTTCGTTCGAAAGTTCGCCCTAGCGCGCAGCCGCACACAACATGCGTAACGAATCCATGGCCGTTGATCGAACTCATCGATCGAACTTGATCGATACGGTGCGTAATATCCCCTCAACGATGGAAATAAGAAAAACCGCATCAATTGAGTGCATTCAGTGCATGGGCGTCGAGAATGTGTTGAGAAATACAAGCATTTTTTGGCAAAAATTTTTTGCCCCCCTCTAGAAAAAATCCTGGCGACGCCCATGACTCAGGGAGCTTTGAATAAGGGAATAAATGTGTGCTTCGGAGGTTTTTATCACTCTGTTTAAGACCACTTAGAGTCTGGGTGCTGATAATTACCCTCGCTTCCGTCAGCACCCAGACTCTAAGTGGTATTAAACAGAGTGATAAAAACCTCCGGAGCACACATTTATTCCCTTATTTATAGATACCTTTTCGGTAAGAAAAAATCATATAATTCGTTCAAAACATCCCGATTTTGTTCAACAAATTCACTTTATGCTTTTTGAAACATCCCTCTTGCATAATAAAGGAGTGTTCAGATGGCGAGTAAGATGTAAACAACCCTTTTATGGAAATTGACGCGCGCGTATCATGTTCTGCGCAATGTCGCGCAGAACGCACCTGGCGCGTTGCGTTTTGAATTTAGAACTTTAAAATTCTGACTCCCTGGTAGTGTTGCGCATGCCTACGTGAGGATTGTGAACGTTCAACCAATTAAACGATAAGAGGCACTGGATTTTTAGGAGTCCACATTTTATTGTAACACTGGAAAAGTGTTTAAGACCAGCTAGCCTGTCTTTATCATCCGTTTAAGACCGGCCACGTGACGGGCTCTCGACCAATAGGAATGCGTAAACTGTCTTAGGTATTTATGAATGAAATTCACTGCAAACAGCCTCGGTATTTTTTCTTTACTTTTCTGACAAAAGTACTTGTCCCTCCACCGTTTTAGAGTCTGCTACACCCAACGATCAGAGTGATTTCAAGAAAGAGTTGCAAGTGTATTCCATGATGGACCAGCACCTCAATGTCCTGTCTATGCTCGGATACTGCACTGAAAAAGGTACAATTAAAATGATATAAAAACAAGTTCAAACCCTAATTTGATGAGTTTTGATATTTTTTTTGAAAAAAAAAATACACGTTTTCATGTGGTCGACCTCGTGCGTTTGGTTATGGTGTAAATCGAGGACACACACGTGCAACATCATCGATGAATCGAGGACAGACACCGAATCGAGGACAACCTCGACTAGAAATGTTGCACAAAACCAATGAGAACTGTTGCGGAGTACAAACAATGGAAAAGGGAAGAGGAACAAAAGGAAATCCTCGATTTAAACCATAAACAAACTTGGGTGAGCGAGTGAGTGTATTTACCCACAAAGTTAAATTATGCCTAACCTTCCCAAATCTTCCAAAATCATCTTTGTGAAATGTAGGATTTGACAGGATTGAGGCTATTATGGCAAAAATGTGGATTTGAGACGATGCACTGTATCAATGTCTTAGGCCGGACCTTGTGCTGTTTATGCTCAGCTGTGCATCAATTTATGCCTAGATTTGTACTTGAAATCCTCCGCACTGCTGCATGATGTCATCACTAGCTGTGCCTCAACATATCGGGAATGACTGCTGGAGGATTTTGCAGGATTGAGGCAGTGGTCACACCCTCCAAATGCCACATCCAAGTAATAACGGTTGATTGTGCTTAGGATTGAGGCTGTATGCAATTTTTACATGGATGCAGTTGGAGGATTTTGCAGGATTGAGGTTGCATCCTATCAAAAATGCTTAGGGAGTTAGCGTTAAATGGCATTGACTGCAGTGCGAAGCGTCTACTTTTGTGCATGCTATTATAATAAGGCTGTGAGTGAGAGCGGTTTTGACAACTCTTCGTCTATTCCTGCGAATTCACCAACGACGTAGCATCCTCAGGTGGCATGCAGATGAGATGCTTTGTATTTTTAGCACATTTTTAATGTCTTTCTACAGACCCAATGTACATAATCCTGGAGTACGTTCCCCATGGAGACCTGCAGACCTACCTGCGACACATTCGGACGGGCACCGAACCCTTTTACATGAAGAAGGAAGAGTTCAAGGAGAAGAAGGACCTGACACCGACTGAGATCCTGACTTTCGCATCTCAGGTGGTCAGGGGGATGGAGTACCTAGCATCAAAACAGGTGATCGCATGTAGATGTAAGGTCAGTGGGGATACATCAGTGTAGAATGCGCCACCAAGACTTCGCCTCGAAAATTTACTTTAAAACGTCACCATGATGCAGTAGTTGTATTTTGCGTACAGCTGCAGTTTTGTATGTTGTTAGTCACTTAGGATTAATTAATCTACCAAGCAAATAATAAAAAAAACCTTAACAGACATCCCAACCAAACAATAAAAAACCCAGCTTGCTACAAAAAGCAATTAACTGTTGATTAATTATTACTTGTTCTCAACTGATTTTTTCTTAATACTTACAACTTAAAACATTCTTTCAGTTTCTATAATCCCAGAACATTTCTTTGGACGAGCCCCTTTCAACACAGATTCACACTCAATCTGGTAGTATTTAATTCTGATTTTAAAAGTGTGTCTATTGCCATATCATGCAGGCTCCAAATCAATTCTTTCCCACACCTTTTGTGTCCGTGGTCTGATGCATTTCATTCTCTTGTTTTTTTTTCACAGTGTATCCACAAGGACTTGGCAACCCGTAACATCCTCCTTGGCGAGGGATTGATATGCAAGGTGTCCGACTTTGGACTGGCTCGAGAAGTGGCTGAGAAAAGCCAATACGAAATGAAATCACAGGTACATGTATACAAAATGTCATTTTAGTGCATGCATTTTAAAGGCCGCCCTCTAGTGGTTGAATCTTGCCAGGAATCGGGTTGGCGCCTTGCAGCCTTCAATAATAAATCCAGAAAATAAATAGTTAAGCAGAGAACTGAAGCCACCAACGCAGATTCCGCAAGTTTTAGTGCAGTTATATTCACTGGACATCAGTAAAATACCAGTGGTACCTTCAGCTGATAATTTATATCGTTAAAGCTACAGTTGCAGGGAGATGAATACGGTATTGGACAACAGTTGGGTGGCTGAAACTTTCGTCTTTGTTTGACAGGAATAATGTATTAAGCAGCTTTAGTTAAAATTCATGAATTGAAACATTTGCATAAGTTTCTTGTTATCACGATTACAAAAATTACAAAATGTAAAACAAGGAATCAATGAATCGAAAAAATTCCACTTCTCTTGGCTGGCCACATTTTTTTAAAGTGAATAATAATATATCATAAATGTTGATTCTAGAGAGCTATTGCATTATTTGTGGTTTGTCAAATCAATTTGAAAAAGGGCAAGGTACCAGTTCGTTGGATGGCTCCTGAGTCACTGCTTAGTAATATGTACACGAGCAAGAGTGACGTATGGTCATTTGGTGTTCTTCTGTGGGAACTCGTTACGTTAGGTGAGTCGGAATATCTGTCAATTTATTAATTTTTTTTTTGGGGGGGGCCTACATTTTTTTGTCTCGATACCGCTGCCATGGAATAGGACTGCTATGGAATCTGGTCTATTTTACCTTATATGGACTCAAACCCTCACGTGTGGCCTGTCACTAAGGCATGTGCAATACTGTGGAAGCGATAAAGGGGCATAAAACATAAAGGTTATGACTTATATCTCACTAACTATGACTTATTATTAAGTCACAGTTATGACTTATATCTTATAATAGTAAATTACTATTAATTCATAATTATGATATATATCTCATAATTACGACTTGGTCATTGTTAAATCATAATTATGACTTATAGCTCAGATTGATTACTTATTATTAAGTCATATTTATGACATATCTAATAATAATGACTTAGTATTAAGAAATTGTTATGAGATATCCTGTCATAATTACGACTTAATATTTAGTCGTAATTGTAAGATTAAGTCACAATTATGGCTTAATTGATAAGTCATTATTATACGATATGTCATAAATATGAGTTAATGATAAGTCAAATTATGAGGTATAAGGCATAATTATTATTAAACAATAAATTACTAAGTCGTAAAATTGAGGTATATAACTTTATAATAAGTCATAATTATGAGATATCAATAACTATAACCTGACTGTTTACTCACGTTTTGTAACACCTTTTCATCAGGATCGCATCCATACCCTGGCATGTCATCGCAGAAGGTAATCGATGAAATAAAGCAGGGCTACCGACTACCCAAACCAGAGCATTGTAGCGACAACATGTAAGTCTAAAGGGATCAATCTGGGTCAGTAACTCCTTAATTATCTGCTATTGGTTGCGATTTGTTGCAGGCATAATAATTACTCACAGCACGACACTTTGCGTCAGATATTGCTTCTTGGCCAATGCACTGACTTCAAATCAACCAACCGATCGTCTTCAAGACAACACTCAACATGTACAAACCGTGTCCAACAAGTTCCCATCATTTCCGATGTTGTGAACCTCATCAAACCTGAACGGCAAGGTCTCCCCTCGGAAGCAAATTTGCTTATCCCTCGCACTACCAGGAACACAGGGAACAGTGCCTTCTCCACTGCTGGGCCCCGAACATTGAACTCTCTCTATCTCCATTCGGAATGCATCATGTCTAACAGTTTAGGAACTCGTAAAATCATGTTTGTTTCGGATGCCATTTGTTCCCAATGCTGTTGATCTTTTTACAGCGTTTTGAATCCTTTGGCAAAGGCGCTTTAGAAATACCAGTTATTATTATTATTATCATTATCGGCAGCCTGGAGTTGGTATTAATCGTAAGTTGCAAGTATTTTATCGGATTAAATGAGATTTGGTGGCTTTTGCAGGTAGAGTACAACCTAGGAGAAGTTTGCGGAGAGAAATCATATCAGTACAAATGATAGATCTTAGAAGATCAACGGGTGGCTAGTAGATGTCTCGGTTAGTATGCTCCAATTATCATCATAAGCAGGACTGGCTGTTGATTCGACGACGGTCAGTATATCGACCCCAGGCTAAAAATCGAGATTTCACTTCAGGTTTTCTCAGAACCAACAATTGACACAATTCAGGTAGTCTTTCCTCAACAGTGTTTTCATCTTCCTTTACTGACAATTCTATAATCAGGGATAAATTTTCAAGTCTGTATGTAAACACTGACATAAATTTGACATTTACCCAACTTCTATTGCAGATACCAGATAATGAAGGACTGCTGGCAGGAGAAACCTGAAGACAGGCCGGATTTCGCTGGTCTTCACACCACCATAGACGACATCCTTGCAGATGCAGCGGTGGGTATTCAGTTTCGAAACTAATGTGCTAATCACCTGTCTTATCATTTCTCATATTTTCTGCCATAACCATTCTGTCGCTGTTGTTATGATGATGTCTTAATTAACATTTATTCCGGAGTTGTAGTAATGTATTATTATTTTATTTGGTGGCATTAAAATTGTATTACGTAATATTGGTTTTAACGTTAAAGAAATAGTGGTTACAACGATGTCTTGAACATTTTAAACGTTGCAAGGGGCGAGCAGATTAACCCAATTGGGGCGGGTTATTTTTTACAATCTCACGGCCGGGGGGGGGGGGGCGGGAGGATTCCGCTTCCCCCTAAGATCTAGGCTATCGGTGAACAAAAACTTATGAAACTCGGTACATGCCTAGAACAACTTATCTCACACATACCCAAGAAAGTTCAGGACTATTGGTCAAAGGGTTTTGGAATTATGACTATTAATAAATTATTCATATGCACGAATGGTAATTCTGCTTTGCGTACACTATACGTATATGGGAAATTCGGTTTTGCACTCTCTCTAAAAGTGTAATATTCACTTAGCCGTAACGGTCTTTAACTATGGTTTGTTTTTCTATGATTTAATGCTTTTCCCCCGTTATTTACAGGGCTATCTCGAGATGGGAAATGTCAACCTAGATGATTACATGTACCTGAAACCTGGCCAAGGTTCGAGCAGCATGGAAACAGGCTGAGAAATCGCGCACATGCATTCACTACAAGCGTCACATCACAGCGGCGTAAAACTTAGAAAAAGATCGCTGGTTCAGTATGAATTGCCGTAGGGCAAGTTCGAACGAGAATTTTCGTTTACCATTGTTCAACTGTCTTTATCAGATGTAGCCTAGGCCTGGAATCGTTGAAATACTAGAGCTTTTGACAACCTATCCCCGTAGCTGATTCTCGCGCTAGTTCTGATTTCTACGCTATAGTACATATAGGTCGACATCTGTAAAGTTGTAGGACCGTCAGTCGTCATAATTTTGCAGAGTGTATTAGGTGATTAATAAACTCCAGGAAACACTTTGTAGGACGGGAAAAGCTCATTGAATGGTTCTTCTTAGCAGAGCACGAGTAATTTACATTAACTTTGAAATGCTTACCTTTCCTTGGTAATCATTTTTTACCAAGGAATAAATGCGTGGTGGGCCGGTATAAACACTTTTTTTCAAGCCCGGTTGGAGTCTGGATGTTGAGTTTTGTCCGAACATTGTTTTAATTCTTGACACAATTGACGGTAACTGCTTGGTAATTGAGTGGCTGCATTGTGCAGGTGGACGTATGCAACATATAGTTAAGGTATTAAAATGCCTAAATCTACGTTCATTGACTGAATGCATTTTAGAATATTTTAGGGCACTATTTATAACTTGACTGTTTGTTTTTTGTTAAATTAGCATTCTAATACATGTGCATAATTATGTACACATCAGTGTCAATATTTTGATTGGCTTTAAAGTACATGTAGTTGTACCCGTTACTCTTGAAGTATGTCAATGAGACATTTACAATTAGATACAGATGTTCTTTAAAAAAAACTTTTGTTTTATTATGGATTAATAATTAATGGTAAGCCAATTTAATAAACTACGTTTAGGTGAAAAGAAAATACTTCAATTGCTCAATCCGCTTAAATTATCCGTCATTTAAACGAAAGGACACTAAAATCAGTTTCGTCCGAAAAAGAAAGTTACGGAGAATACTTGTTTCAGCAACTGTAATACACAATATCTTTATTAACAACCCTGTTTTGGCTAAAAACAAAGGATTTATAACATCCACTTTAATGTAAAGCCGGGCCTTCAAAAAGACATTCTTGAATATTTGTAACTTTTAAACTGAGGTTTTATCGCTGGTGATATGTTTGAGGACAATTGTAAGGACATCGACCGAGGCCAAACCATGGAGGCGACACTGGCCTCTTCCCTTGGCGTAGTCGAAGAAAACGCACTCAGCCTCTTTGGTTCAGTAGCTGGCGCAATGCGAGCGCGATTTAACCATCTTGGTCGCCAGGGGCTCCGAGTTGCCGATCAATGCTCCCTGGTGCGTCTTTGTGAAGATTGCTGACTTGGTTTTAAATGCATTACCGTAATTACCAGGATCTAAAAAGGGGGATGAAGGGTAAATTTGATCAAAGACAGGTTAAATGACAGAGACTTTGCCAAATAAATCAGCATCGGGGACCATCTGTGTAAAAACGATGAACAGCACGCATGGACCAGCGAAAAGTCCATACGTCCAGATAACTACAAGTCGTTTGATAAACCAGAGCCCTCGGCTGCCCGGTGTCCGCCTGATAGTCTGACGGTTCGATAGAAGGTTCTTTCGTCCGAAGGTTCGATAGTCCGTACTTACCCGAAACCACTTGTGGGGTACCTGTCCTTTGTTCGAGGTACCCCTCAAATAAAACCTTTAGAAACAAGGGTACCCCGCAACGAAATCTTAGTTTAGAAATAGGGACAATGGGACAACAATGGAGGTCCATCTGGCTGGTATGTCCGAATGCACAAGGTTCCCATAAGAGGGGGCTCGTTAGCCTGAAAATAAAATATGGTTAGTTAATCGGAACATTTGAAGCAATAGTCCGAAGGTTCAATAGTCCAAACGAAAATAATGTTCGATAGTCCGAATCGGCAAGTAGGTCCGATAGTCCGAATCAACAATAAGGTCATTTTGTCAGTTCGGACGACCAAACCTTATTGTCGATTCGAACTATCGAACGCTATCGTCTATTTGGCCTATCGGACATTCGGACTATTTAACCTTCTTTTTGTTTTCGGACTAATGGGCCCTTCGGACTATCAAACCTTTGGACAACTGACCCTTTGGAGTAAAGCGCCTTCGGACTATCAAATCTTTGGACTATCGGGCTGTAATTGAGTAATGCGTCCAAGATGTGGAAAGCTTACTGGCCGTATGCTTCATGATAAAACTGAGTTCACATTAAGTACGATTTGAGGCTTTGCATGGTGGAGATACTAATGAATGAAAGGTTTGCGGAAACACCATGTGCGAATAATTTCCCAAATAAGAGAATGCAACCTCGTCCCCAGTGCTTACTTTATTTCCAACACGGTTTCCAATAGTAAACCCTGGATAGGAAACTTTCTTCCTGTATCCTGATTGGATACCGCAATTGGCTAGTAATGGATTTTTATCGTGTACTTGGTGTTATTAATTCACAACGTGCAGTACGTGTTTTCGCGATCATTCGTCCACGCCTTCTCGAAAATACTAATTTCCTTTCTAATTTGCTTATATTAATATGAAATATGATACTGCATGTTGTCTCGATAAGATCGTAACAGTTTGATTTCAAAAATCGTGTTTTCGTAACTCACGCCGTGCTCGCGCTGCTACGAATTGACTCTGTTTTTACCCCAGACACCGCATACAAAAACAAACGCTAATGTGTAACGCATATTCAGGCACCAGACTGTTCCTCATTTGCATACGTGTGCAAAAAATCTTGCACATGCAAATGATCCAATACCAGGGTGAGAGAGCAGGTAGTGGTGGGCGCGTACTGCTCGACACCCTGGGTACGAGGTTGAAGAGAATGGTTCTTAAAAGAACCAGAGATATAAACTCGACGTTCATATTAGCTGGTTCACCATATAGCCTTTTGTTTTGGGGACACCCTGTATAATTGTCTTCGAGTTTCAACTGCTTCAATTTCCCCCGGAATCAAGTGTACAAATGGGTAGTACATTAGCTTGTGAGTAATCTGCGTGAGTCTGGCATCCAAGGTACCATGAGTTTAAACACCGGTGTGCAAAGAAAATGTTGTTCCCCCAGAATGATCACGTGTATGCAGATGATAATGCAGTTACTTCTCTCATTCAAACCTATGCAGCTAGTTGTTGATGACAACCTGGCCTGCATGGAGGCATGTATAAGCGAGATCCGACAGTGGATGAAAGCGAATTACCTCAAATTAAATGATGACTAAACTGAATTCATGCTTTTTATAGGTCGCAACAACAATTCGACAAGGTCACTGTGGATCACATCACTATAGGAGGCTCGAATATTATCGCAATCTCGGTGTCACAATGGATTCCACGATGTCATTTCAGCCACACATTTCACAAATTTCACAATCGACATCAAACAATCTCAGAACCTCAGCAGAATTCGTAAACATCTCTCAAAACAGGCAACAGAGCAACAGATACTAGTACATGCCTTTATTACCTCTCGCTTTGACATGTGTAACTCTCCTCTCTTTGACATTCATCAACAACAATTGAACCAACTTAGTCTTACTAATGGAGATCAATGGTACACGCAGTGTTACGGCCGCGCATCGCGGCAAAATTGCAGTCATCAGGAAAGATGGCGTCGGTCGGTCACCTCCAACTGTACTTTCTTTGCCGGTGAGGGGGTACTTGTGAACGGAGTGTATTACACGCACCAGGCGTTTTTCACACATAACACCTATTATGCAACATCTCCACTGGCTTCCGATTAAATTTAGAATCATGTACAAACTTATGCTTCTCACTTATCGCTCACTACACAACATCTCCCCTCCGTATTTAACTACGCTACTAGCTCCCCACCAATCCGGTCGTTCTGGTCTCCAGTCTGCTTACCAACGTATTTTGGGTGTACCGAGATCGTACCAATCCCTGGGGGACATATCTTTGTATAGCTGCACCGCGTCTTTGGAATAGTCTACCCATTAACATCCGATCTAGCACATATCTCAGCTCATTCAAAACGGCTCTGAAAGCACACTACTATAATCTAGCCTACAGCATCATAATAAGCTATTCTGCTTCTCAGACTATATAGTAATACATTGTTCTTGTTTGTTTTATCAAGTATGTTCTTTACTAATGTAGCGCCATAAGCGACTTTTGCTAGGTGGATGTGTGCGCTTTATAAGCAACCATTATTATTAATATTATTAAAGTCAAGCGGCTTTATGTCCCATTGCAACAGTTTCTACTCTTATGGGCTTTGTGATGTAGCAAATTAAGAATTTATAGAGGCGCGAGAACAAACATTGGACAACTCAAATCCAAAACTTAAACTAGCCTTCCAAAATAATTTAATACTGATACTACTGAAAATACAAGTACAGAACATCATGACGAAGCCAACGCCCTGAAGCCAACTGCAACGAACAATGAGTACGGGCGTGCTACCGCACTTATATAGCCACACAAGATTAGGGGGGTATTACAATAATTTGTATTATAAGAGCGCCACGTTTGGTATAATTATGTTGTATTACGTAAGATCAGAGCGCCACAGCACTTCCACACCACAAAAAAAAGAAGAGCACGATAACTCCATTCAGTGCAAATGTTAAAGTTCACAGTATTTTTTTTTCATTTGCTTATCTTAAATTGCTTGTAATTTGATGACGTCAAAAGGATTTCACAAAATATGTAACACCTTCGGACAAGGGTTCCTGTTCATACCAGGTTTCATCCTCATCCCTTGTGCCAGGTCAAAGAGATTAGTATTCGTTTGAATGTTAGGATTCTATTTGTATTTGAATTCAAATAGCTTTGACCTTCCGGTACCTCCGGAAGGAAGGGTCAAGCGACTTTACTTTCTGAAATCTGCTCCGAAATTCTCATTTTCAAAGGTAGTGTCTATCAGATTACAAAGAACGAACATCATTGTCAATTTTGTTCATATAAATGAATAAAATATAGTCATTTTAAAACTAAATCGCTTGTAATTTAATGCCTATGACGTCATCATGACGTCTTCTGTGTACCATGGTCGATTTTCTATCCGGATTTCAAGTTCCTGCTGTGAACAATTTTGTGATTTTTTTCCGAAAAAAATACCGAAAGATATATAGAAAACGAATCTAAAACAGTGGCCGGGTGGTGAACGATCACCCAAATAAACTGTACGGAACACAGGGATAATTTTTTTTCACGAAATGCGTGGTCACTGAAGCCTTTCTTTGTTTTGTGTTGTCATATATATAATGCATTAACAGCCGGAAGACAAACAAAAGAACACACAATCAAGTGCTTGCCTTCTGCCTCATTTCCTGCCAATACTGGTAATAGGTTTTTCAAAATATGAGTTTAATAATATTCATGCATATGATTATAGATTATTATATGATGATTGATTACTATAATGCCAGGGCAGAAGAATTTGTAAAATAAGAGATTCATTGATAATGCAGTAACTCCGGGAAAACGACGGCCAATCATTAATTGCTAGTTTTATGCCTCTTCATCTCGCCCAAATGTTAATTGGTCATCGATGGAAATAAATTAGGCTCACTCCATTAAGTTACTTCAGTTGTATAGTTCGAGGAAAGCAAAGCAAAACAAACAAAATCCCAAGCGGCTTTTTTTCCTGTATTTGTTTTATCACAGAGTACGCGTAAGTCTTGGTTTAATTAACTCGTCTGATAGGCACGAACGATGGCAATGTCTTGTCAGGATTCGGAGGAGACAATGGCGTCCACAGATGGATTTCGAGGGGGTTTTGGACTTTACTGTATCGACGTATGAAATGTCTTAAACTGTCAAAACATTTACGAAAAAAAACCCCAACATACCAAAAATGCAGCCGGGCGGAGGGGGGGGGGGCAGTTCGCTGGAGAGGTGATTGCTACCTACATGTACACTCTTAAAACTGAACTGTGAACCCGACACTTACATTGGTTTGGTCAGTAACTAGAGTTTGAAAGTGATGATTTCAGCATTTTAAATGTCAAAGCCAACACTTTAACTGTTAATTCAACATTTTAAAGTTGATTCAACATATTTTTAAAGTTAACTCTTTGAAAAAAACGTTGAATTTACAAATTAATTATTTTGTTTGTATGGTTTTTATGTCTACGCATTATACTTAGAACGTTTTGGATTCAAATATAGGGAGCTAAAAGCAAGGTGCCAGATTGTAATTTATTTCACCGATATTTATTTTATCCCCTTCCATGTCATTTTAGTTTGGCAGATATTCAAAGTCTCTACAAAGCTTAGGGACATGGAAAACCAAAAATCTCTCTTTGTTCTGCTAGATGATGATGGTTTCTGACACGTCCGAAAAAAGGCGAATAGCTCCAAGTAATTTGACTACGTTGGGATTTACCAAGGTGTGATTGGACACTCCACAAATTAGCCCCGCCTACACTTATCCGTATTCACATATGAGGTCATGCGCTAAAAATCAAGCGCAAAATAAGGAAAAGCTTTCGCCAACGATTGGAAAAAGGCATTCGATCAGATCCAAATAAATTTGCATATAAATAGTGGCCGCGTCGCTGTTCGCGCTGTATTTTTACATGCACTACATAGAGCGAGGATATGCCGCCGAATACTTTGGCGAGCCTGTTTTGACGCTGAATCGGGTTGAGGGTTACCTTTTCTGTGTGAGGGCTATAGGGACACGGGTGAGCAGCTACCCATACGAAAGGGGGGGGGGGCAATTAACGAACGGTGGACTA